TTCTCAGATTATGTCGACATATTCTCAGATTATGTCGACATCTTTCAATAATTATGTCGACATACGTAACTCGTAAGTCGCAAGTGGATGGCAGAAATATGCCACCATAGAAATTGAAGAAGTTGGATGATTGGGTTCTTATCAAACTTTCTTCCTTGCTTAGCACTTGCCACATAGATAGATCATTCAATTTAATTGATGAAATATAAAAGGGAATATTCGCTAAATAAAAACTACTTTTATTTTGAAACATTGTACACTTTATTTCTTTTTATAATCATCACAAAACTGTTAACATTGTTTACGTTATTTTGAGGTTAATAAGAAAATATCAACATATATAAAAATCGATTAAACACAAGTTAAGTCATTTTATTACAACACAAGAAAATCCATTTCTGTTTATTGAATTTTCAAAATTCAGTTATCCAGATTGTTTTAGATTTTCCTTTTATACCCCTTTCTAACAACTTAAATGGCAAGTGATGATTTTGCATAACCCATTAAGTGCCGTTTATATTATTTCCACGATCTGCCCTGGGCTTGGTAAAGCACTCAACTATCACTCTATTGACGTCATCAAATGATGATCGGTCTATGATACCACAACGTCCGTCCCCATTTCCATCTGACCACTAAGATGACTGGTTGGTTGTTGAAAGTAGTTATTGTTATAAATGGTATTGGCGTATGTATTGGAAATGGTCAAAGACGTAAGTAAATGTTTAATCTACATTTTATTTATTATTTATTTTTTGAAATAAATAATATAGTGGACTTCATATATATTACATTAACGAAAATTGTAACACATACAATATACATAGTACAAAAATATATAATGAACACAGTAAATATATTATTCAATCTAATCGATGAGCATAGTATACATTGAACACAGTATACATTGAAAACAGTATATATTTATCCGATATGCACTGTATCGTTTTTCTTGCACAAGGACTTATTATCATTTATCATACAATCAGTTAATATAGTATATACACAGTATACATTTTATACACAATATGTATGTTATATGTATTCATTTTAGCAAACAGTATTTTGACAGCTTTCTTTCTTCATTTTCCACTTTTTCGTTTTTCTTTCCTTTGTTATTTCTTTTTTCTTTCTTTCTTTTCATTCATATTCATTTCGTCGAGACGGATCTACGAAAATCGATATATTAAGTAACGTCCAACCTTCAAACTAACAGAGGGTTACGCTCACTTACGTTCTCAGCACACCTTGAATATGTCAAAATAAAATTGAAGGCTCTGAACGCGCCAACATGTGAATGATACAGGTAAGACTATTTTGAATCCTTGATTACCATAAAAAAAACTGAGCGGCTGATAACGGTAACATTGACTGGCTTTGGAGGCGGTTGTTGCTACACTGTAATCTGCAAATCTGGACAGGTATCAGAATAGTTTTTTGACGCGAGACCAATCAAATAGCTAACCGCGTGCCTTCGATTTTGTCTATAAGTGAGCGTAACCCCTGGTTACTGTAGGTGGCACTCGTTATTAGTATTTGATTTATTGGTAATATTATTGGAAAGATCGACAGGTAAAATAACATTTAATCCATTCATGGTGGATTAAGTGTAGGATCATATATCATTTAATTGTATATTTTTGGAAAAAAATAGATATTGCTCTTTCGTAAAAGTGCTATATAGTTTATAGTGGAATGTTGAAGGGGCCTGATACATTTTTACATCTATATTTATTTTTACATCTATATGTGGACCTTAACTAAGGTGGTCAGACAAATTTTACACGTTTTTTGAGTTTAAATTAACTTTCTGCAAAACAATGCCCCCGGGTTCCAATATAGCTATAACAACTTATCAAGTCCTCTCGAAGCTACTACAATAAAAGCCTGCTAAGATAAAACAAAAAAAAGGTTTTCTGTCATTAAGTTTCGAAGGACGAAGAAATAGATGGCAACCATGATCTTGTTGGAATCATTGGAGGAGTAAACGCTACAGACGACGCCTGGCCATGGCAAGTTTCTGTCAAATATATGCGCAGGTTTATATGTGGGGGAACGCTGCTCAATGAAAATACAGTCTTAACAGCTGCGCATTGCATCATCAAACGACGGTAGGTTTTTTCACAACCTATGATGAGTATTATGTGTATCACCTCATAAACATAACAAGAGGCCCATGGGCCTTAACAGTCACCTGACTCCTACAGTATTTATTTTTGTTGTTGAAATATGTACCAATTCGAGTAAAAAATAGTTAAGTATAACGTAGACATAAGTTTGTCAGGACCAGGAACTGATCAATTTTAAACCGAGTTTCAGTTCAATCGGCCTATTAGAAGTTTGAAATAATTATTTTCAAAATAGCGGCCGTGACAGCCAAATTGGATTTCTGATCGACCCGAAAAATACCAGAACTTTGTCAGGACCATTATTCAAACATCCATTCCAAGTTTCAGTTCAATCGGCCCAGCAGAACATGACTTTAAGTTTGAAATAGGTTTTTAAAATGGCGGCCGTAGCGGCCATATTGGATTTCTGATTGACCCGGAAAATAACAACACTTTGTCATGACCTTGAGTCGATCATTCCTACCAAGTTTCAGTTTAACCGGCCAAGCAGAACTTGACTTTAAGTTTGAAATAATTTTTCAAAATGGCGGCCGTGGCGGCCATATTGGATTTCTGATCTGCCCGAAAAAGAAAATACTTTGTCAGGACCATGATTCGATCATTCCGACAAATTTTCAGTTCAATCGGCCCAGCATGAACTTGACTTTAAGTTGGAAATTGTTTTTCCAAAATGGCGGCCGCGGCGGCCATATAGGATTTCTGATTGACCCGGAAAATAACAACACTTTGTCAGGACCATGATTCAAACATTCCTACCAAGTTTCAGTTCAATCGGCCCAGCAGAACTTGACTTTAAGTTTGAAATAGGTTTTTAAAATGGCGGCCGTAGCGGCAATATTGGATTTCTGATTGACCCGGAAAATAACAACACTTTGTCATGACCTTGAGTCGATCATTCCTACCAAGTTTCCGTTTAATCGGCTTAGTATAACTTGACTTTAAGTTGGAAATTGTTTTTCCAAAATGGCGGCCGCGGCGGCCATATTGGATTTCTGATTGACCCGGAAAATAACAACACTTTGTCAGGACCATGATTCGATCATTCCTACCAAGTTTCAGATAAATCGGCCCAGCAGAACTTGACTTTAAGTTTGAAATAGTTTTTTAAAATGGCGGCCGTGGCGGCCATATTGGATTTATGATCGACCCGAAAAAAAGAACACTTTGTCAGGACCATGATTCGATCATTCCTATTAAGTTTCCGTTTAATCGGCTTAGTTTAACTTGACTTTAAGTTTGAAATAGTTTTTCAAAATGACGGCCGTGGCGGCCATATCGGATTTCTGATTGACCCGAAAAATAACAACACTAAGTCACGGAAATGTCAGTAACCTTCCCATGAAATATCAATGAAATCCCTTTGCCAGTAGTTCAGCTTAAGTTGAAAATGTAAAATGTTAACGGACGACGCACGACGGACGACGGACGAAGACGGATAGCAATAGGTCACTTGAGCTAAAGTTCAGGTGACCTAAAAAGACACGGCCTGCAAACATGTAAAATCGCGTTTTCGAAAATAAATGACCTTGGCCCACTTTAAAAATCACAAGGGTCAAATGTGTTTAAAACTTTTCTGAATAACCAGGAAGCCCAGAGTTATGATATTTGGCGAGTAGGTACCTGGGACAGAGTGATATAAAGTTTCCGCCCACGTCATCATAAGACAGTCCCTCAGAAATGAATTATCCTACTGCTCCATATATTGTGTACTGGGAAACTTTCGCCCAGTCAAACTTTCGCCCTACGCTGCTAACATCAGTATTCCTTCAGTTTTAATTTCGCCCTTCACATTTTATTTCTATATTTATAATGTTGTTTGACACGATAATTTTGCCCTCATTACCGAGAACGAAAAAGGCGAAATTTAAATTATGAAAAGATTCATACAACACAACCAAACATTGTTTATAAGTGACGCGAAGTTAAAATGAGGTGAAAACTTCCCTATAATCAACATTATTGTGCACTGTCAGTGTTAGCGTTATTATTACAATAAGTGGCGCAACATACTTCTTTAGACCCCGGTTTATTTATAATTACTCCAGGTCTGATATAAATTAAGGATTACACGGTGTTTTGCATCCTCAGTACTCCAGGGGTTTCGCTCACTTTCACTCTCTGCATCCCTGGGAAAAGTTATAGCAAAATTGAATCACGGGGCTAGCTATTTAATTGATCGCAGTTGTAATACCCGTGTTTTGAAAATTACAGAGGTGCGACACCCGACTTCAAAGCTAGTCAATTTCCCCGTTAAGCGACCCAAAGTATCAAACTAGTGTTCTTGTCCCTTCAGCAAGATTATGCACACTGAGTCTTCGATTTTGCCATGACATAGTCCAGGGGTGAAGAGAGCGTAGGTGAGCGTAACTCCTGGAGTATCCTGAAAAGGCTTTACATGTTCCTTATCAGGATATATGCATTTCTGACACGGGTCAGAAGATAAGACTTTGAAACATTTATTCCAAATTATGATTTATTACAATTAACGTGGCAACAGACCCCGTTTACCTACTACTAGTATTTTTCATGGCTAAAAAGAGAGCAGTGAATTTCTATAGACGTGAAAAATTTTGAAAAAAATATACAAATATTATCAGATGATAAATCCATGACTTTCAGATGGTATATGTTTCCATTAAAATAGCATAACTGGCAGAAGGATTCTGACATGTAAAAATAAGAAAAGAAAAAGGTGAATTGTATGCGTTTTCGTTTGATACCAGGGCCAGACGGTTCCTGGTCAATGTTGGAGACTACGACAGACGTGTTCCCGAACAAGGGAGAAATGAACTGTCAGTCAAAGTGAAGAGGGTTTACGTCGTGAGTATAATGTATTAAGATAGTGTAATATATATGTACTTCATTTATTTCTAGATATTTTGTTTAACATTATAAATTGGTTTCAATTTTGAGTTACCCGAATACCCATTTATTAGTTTGAATTTCTTTTCTCTATGAGCATTCTTATTTAACTACCCGTTCCAGCATCCGTACTATAACAGAAGAACTTTCGTAAATGATGTGGCCATTCTGAAACTAAAAAAGCCAGTCGCCTTCGGAACATACATCCAGCCCATAGAGCTAGCCACGTCCGCCATGGATGTGTCACTGAACACATGTTACATAACAGGGTGGGGCCTCCGCGACAACAAAGGTAATTAACAATAGTCTACTACGAACGTCAATAAAATACATTGATAATCATTTCATAAACTTCACAAAGTTTCACGCTAGTAAAAATACTGTACATTTAACAATTACAATTGTTTGTAGGCCAATACCTGAACTATCTTGAACGTCTGGTTTCCTGTGTAATTTAGTTGTTCCATGGGATCCAACGTTTTTTCAGGGTTTCATTTGTTCCTGTAAATATCGGACTTCCTTTCTGATTGCTGCTATCGGCGTCAAGTTGGCATTTTGTGTTGTTACTCCCAGTATACAACTGATGCTTCAAATATTCCTCTCGCTCTTAATTAAGCTATTGGCAGTGTTTCATTGCTTCGAAATGTCGTCTTCGCGTTTAGTTGGTTTTTAATATTGTTGTTCCTAGTGTCTAACTTTCTTTTGATAAATGTGTTTTATTGGCTCCAGTATCAAATTATGTATTAATACCACTGCTCCCAGTGTCCCACTAGCTCTTAAAGTAGATGTTACAATTGTTTCATGAGGTCTTAACGGAGTTGTCACCAGTGTCAAATTGGCTCTAATTGTTAGCCTCCCCAGTGTCCAATTGGCTTTTGGTAATCCCGTTTGTCCTGAACGTTGTTGTTCCAATTGTTTATATCGGGTCCTAATGTTTTTTGTTCCCAGTGTTCCATTGGCACTTAATGTTGTGTTCCTGCTGTTTCATTTGATTTTTTGTTTGTTGTTCCCGTGGTCCCATTGGCTTTTAATGTTGTTGTTTCCACTGACCAGTCGGTTCTGAATGCTATTGGCTCTCATTCCAAGTGTATAATTTGTTATTGTTCAAAGTGTTGTATTGGCACTTATCATTATTGTTCCAGTGCCAAGGTGGTTCTTGTACTGGTTAGTTAATAGAGGAAATGTTAGTTCGATAAACACTACCAATTGAGATACATTTTATGTATATGTATTTACCAAGATGCAATGCAAGTTTTCTGTGTGTTTCTATGTGTCGGTAAAGGAGCGGATTGCTCCGAAAATTTGTCATCATATTGCCTACACTGTTTGAATTAATTCCTTGTCCCGTATACCAATTTTAAGTCATTCGTAGCCTGCAAAAATATGTTTGTAAGGACCCGGTGTTGTATGGGAATTTACATTGATGTTACTTCGTTGACCTATACGAAGATGTATAGATGTCGAATTAACGTTAAAATTGAATACGTTTGTAAGGACTCAGTGTTATATGGGAATTTACCTTTGATATTACTTCTTTGACCCATACAAAGATGTATATATATCGAATTAACGTTAATTGGAATTTTAAGCAAATGAAAAGAAAAACGCGAAAAATATCAATTGGGTACCGCCATAGTACTTGCCTGAGATAATGCCACCAAAACTGAACTGGTCGTTGGTTACTTACAGTGCCTAAGACGGCGGCGTCCATTCTCCAGCAGGCGGCAGTATCTGTCATCTCTAACGACGAGTGCCAGAAAGGGCTAAGTAACCAAGTAACCGACGACATGATATGTACTGAAGATCCTTCGAGGGCCACATGTTACGTAGGTCTTGGTTATTTCTAGAATTTAAGGATCCCTGTTTCACCGTCAACATTGAAAACTAATATTTCTGGCATGCAATGGCCAAAGCTTTGAAAAATGATTTTTTAAGACAAACCTTTACTTTGCAGGACTATAACTATAATTAAGGTGAAATTGATAAAAGATTAATAATATTATAGATAACCAAAAGAGTTCTGAGGTATCCTTAAACATTTTCTCTTTCAATATAATGTCTCGGTGATACACATTAAAACTAAACATAAATAGTAGAATTTAGCATATAACCTTGACTTTCAGGGCGACAGTGGCGGCCCCTTACAGTGTGAAATCGAGGCTGGAAGATGGGTTCAGGTCGGCATAACGTCATGGGGAAACAAGGAATGTTTGGATGGACCATCCGTATACAGCCGAGTATCCTACAACAGAGCTTGGATTATTAAAAAGATGTGATGATGATAACTAATGCCAACACGTCCATTAATGGCAAATCACAAAAAGCGACACATTCATTATGGACCAATCAGTGAAAACGAATTATGCAAATGCTAACACTCCAAAGAAATGTAATTACTGTTGACCAACCGTTGGCAAGAACATGTCCGTTTAACTAACAAAAATATTTACTTAATACAGCGAATCTAATTTTAGACCAACCAATGACAATAAAACATTCATTATAGACTAATCAGTGATGACAGGATATACGTCTGGAAACCGGTTATAGGCTCAAAAATATTTACTTTATACAGCGAATCCAATCAATTATGACGTCACTTTCTTTGTAAACTAACCAATGACAAGGATGAATCAATTTTAGACCAACCAATGCCAATAAAAGACACGATATACGTCTGTAAACCGTTTTGGCTCTTATGTTACGTTTCTCTCGGATTGGTGTTTAATAATCCTGACAGTGAACGGCTTGCACCAGCCCCTCTACCACTTTATAAAAGAATGCTAGTCTGTTCTGCTTCCTCCTTTCTTGAAGTGGGGGCTGGCCCAGGTTCTGGAGCATATGGGTAACACAACCTGATTTCCGGGAAGTGTAGTCTCTTATGATGAATCGGGCCGCCTGGTGTTGGATACGCTCTAGCCTGTCGATGTCATGGCAGAGATAGGGGTCACATACCACAGAGCTATACTCTACAGTTGATCGAACTAGAGCAATGATAGCTGTTTTTCGACATGTAGCTGGGCAATGTTTTAGGATTTGCCGCATAAACCATAGAGTGGAATTAGCCATCCTTACTATCTTGGTGATGTGTGGACCAAATCTAAGATCTTCTGAGAGGGTTACTCCGAGTTATAGGGATTCCTGCGCTTACTGTAGAATGGGGATGTCAAGCTGGTAGTAGTGTTGCGACTTGCAGTTAATACTCATGATGTAGCACTTCTTGGCATAGAAACGCATACCCCATGTTGATGCCTATCTCTCCAAGTGAGTCCGGTCCTTTCAGAGTTTTAGATGGTCCCTCATGTTCTGGATGCACCTGTACAGTAGGTAGTCGTCGGCAAAGACGCGAACTGTAGATTTGACCGAGTCCGGAAGGTCGTTTATATAACACAGAAACAGTATCGATCTGGTACGGTCACCTGGCCGTGATAACGTATTTGTCATGCTTCTGGTTGGTGGTATTAATGAGTCATATCGATAATAAAAGAACTTCGGCGTCAACACACAATAGAGCAAAATGGAAACAGTAAAACAAACACCAGGAACGAAAAACAGATATAATTCATCATGTGAAAAATAACAGTTAAAATGCAAAACGATAGAAGAAGAAGATAAAGAATAATTTTGATTGGACAAAGGTAGTATTTGGACAAACGTCATTTATATCATTTGTATATATCTATATATATATGTGGCAAAGAAGTAATTCCAACAGTGTGGACAAGTTTAAGTTGTCAAATTTTCGGAGCGATCCGCTTCTTTTTCAAGACACAGTGAAACAGAACAGTTACATGTCATATAAAGTGAGTCAACAGTGCATCTTGCGCAAGAATAGGTCCTCTACATCAGCGTTCCTTTGCCGCGATGCTCTCAGCTTAATTGCTGCCTTCGGCTGTCTTTAGCCGAGGGGACTATTGGTTTTATATAATAGCTATATTTTCAATTATAGTATATCAATTCTATCTTCTTGTAATATGATGTATATGTACATGTAACTGTTCTGTTTCACTGCGTCTTGAAAAAGGAGCGTATCGCTCAGAAAATTTGACAACCTAAACTTGTCCACACTGTTGGAATCACCAACAAGAAATCTTACGGATGGAGTCAACTAATGATGAGGACTACAATATGTTCAACGAAGATCCAGCCAAGAAACCCTTGCTAAGTTGTGTATTCTCAAAAGGACGGATACATCAATCTTGAGAATAATGCCACTTACGCCATAGTTTGGAGTACCGAATCAACTTTACACAAGTTTGAAATTAGAAAAAAAAGGGAAAACTCCAAAAGAAAAACTGCGGACTATACCAATCCTGCAGTTAATATCTGTTACAATCCAAGAGTTTTAAACGTACAAATGAAAATGAAAGATGAATACCTCAAAATGCAAAAGCCCAGAAAAACCTATTTTTATCTTGTTTTACCTTTTAGGTAAGGGAAACGCTAGGTAGTAAACGAACCTACGTTTTACTTTTGCGTGTGTCTTTCAGTTTACTGTCATTACAGTAAGTGTACATATATACACTGCATTTGTCTCCATTTAAATAAATAAGGACGTACGGCCGTAAAAGAAACAACTCATCATTCAGTTCTTAAATGAAGTTTTCCTATTAAATAATAAATAATAATAATAAACAACATTCATATAGCGCCCTATATAATTTGTAAAATTACTCTAAAGCGGTTTACAACATATGGATAATAGTAATAGTTATAATTGTGAAAACAAACAAAAAAGGCTTACAATCACTATCAAATAAAAGTGTGATATTTACATGCCGTCTTTGCAAAGATTCTAAAATGCAAACGTGAAGAGGTGAGTTTTGATATCCCTCTTGAACTTGGCCAGGGTATTTTACTTTCTAATAGCAGATGGTAAGCTATTCCACAACGTAGCCGAAACCCTCCAAAAGCATCTGCTTCTGTAGGTCACAGTACGAGATTTTGGGACACACATCAAAGGTTTTGACTCCGACCACAGTGATCGTGACGGCTGATACAGGGTAACAAGCTCCTGTAGGTACTGAGGAGCTGTTCCATTCAGTGCCTTGTATGTGTATACCAGAATTTTTGTACTGCGACCTGTATCGTACTCGTAACCAGTGCAACCAATAAAGGTTTTTAACAGCTGGAACAGTCTCAATAGGTCTGGCACCGACCTTGAGCTGGAGAGCCATTGTTTGCTGACACTTTGGGAAAAACGATTAGTTCCGTCATTTCCTGAAAAAGCTTAAGCATGTTGGCGTTCATCCAGATACTGATATCTGTCAAACAAGCTTCCAGACTTCCAGAAGATCCGATGGCAACACACTGTCGTCGTTCACTCAGGTAAGACTGTATCCAGCATAGTGCGGTATCAGTCACTCCATGAGAGTATTCCAGACGTTTATTAAGTATGCCAAAGTAAGTAAACCGCGAATACAATTTTTTTCAAACTTTAGTCCAATCAGATATTAACATCAATGTTCATCATTCGATCTAGAGTATGCAGTCAGTCAAAGTGCACAAGATTTAAAACTGGTTATCCAATAAATACTCGATTTCAGACTACACGTTTACTCCACGCATTATATACTTAATGGTAGTTTATGTGCGATGTACAATTTTTAATCCAATGAATATTTACATTATTCAAAAATCAATAAAACTTGTGAATATAACAGGATTTTCTTATCTTTTTTATAGTAGGGCCGATGAAAGGCCACTTTGATTTAGGATATTGTTATAAAATATCTGGGGGCTTTCCGAAAAACGGGCTAAGTTTCTCGACTGTTATCAAATCGTTGTTTACCGTGCACTTAATCAATTAAGCATAAAATCGGCATAAGAAACTGAAAAAAGAATGGAAATAGTTCGCTGACAGCAGGTCTGTAAATCTTTGGCGATTGACTGAAAGTTTGTTGACGGTGTCGTGACCGCCAATTATGAGGACCTCTCATGGGGCACTTAACGTATCATCATCATAACCGGCAACACGTTAAAAAGTGTTTGGTGCGTTCTGATCATCAGTAATATGCATTATAAAAGTAAAAATTAATAAGTGGGATGATCATACTTTCATCCTTAGCTTGCACTTATAAAAATAGGGTATTCAACCTAATCAATGAAATATGAAAGAGAATATTCGCTTTATAAAACATACTCTTCTTTTCAAATATTGCTTACTTTATTTTTTAATAATCTTCACAAAGCCGTAACCATTGCACACATTATTGTTAGGTAGGTAAGAAGATAACAACACATATACAAAGCAATTAAACTCAATAAAAGTCATTTTTATTACAACAAAAGCAAATCCATTTCCATTAATTAAATGTTCCGGATTCAGTTTTCCAGATTGTATTAGATTTTCCTTTTATTACCCCGTTTCTAACGACTGGGGCAAATGATAATTAAATGACTTCCACGATCTGCCCTGGGCTTGGTAAAGCACTCAACTATCACCCTGATGACGTCTTCGAATGATGAGTGGTCTCTATAAATTGATACCACAATGTCCGTCCCCATTTAAATATGACCACTAAGATGACTGGTTTGTTGTTGACAGTATTTATTGTTATAAATGGTATTGGCGAATGTATTGGAAATGGTCGAAGACGTAAGTAAATGTTTAATCTAAATATTTATTTATTGTTTAATTTTTGAAATATATAATGTACTGGACTAAAGTACTAAAGTTGCATCATTTATGTAGGTCATTGTTATGCATATAAATATATAATACATACAATATACATAGTACACAAATATGCATGTATATTTACATTCTGTGTTGCATTTGCCTATATGTCGTTAGTAAACCAAATTGCAGTATATGAGACTGTATACTACAATTTACAGTGATACGGCCAGTGTAGGAATACAGCGCGCACAAGGTAAACAAACATGGCCGCCCGATACTTTCGATATCAATAGGCCTATAGTCGGAAAACATTCTGGTTTCGTTAGCATTTAGCAATATAGGTCATCGCAAAAAAAAATAAAGCAACTTGACAAATTATGACAATATAGATTTATTATAAGATTTGTAGGTACCACAAAATTATTGTAAGCGCCATTCTAGATACGAAATTAACAAGTTTGTCAACGTCATCACACAGGGGATCGGTTCGAGATTTTGAGTTATGCATAACATCAGTGAATAACCACAACACTAAAATTCAGCATTTCTAAAACCTTGTAATAGTCGAGGGTATCGACAAGGTTATTAGAATGTGTATAACTACTTTATTTAAGTGTTGTGGTTTTTCAGTGATGTCCTACTCAAAATCGCGAAACCGAGCCCCTGTGAACGTCGTCTGCTAGCGATGCTTATCTGACCGATTAGACATGGAATCTATTTCAAACGAAATGTTCTTGGAAACGTTATCACCTACTGAAAGGACCACTTTAATCAAACATTTCCGAGTATATATGCTTCTGAAAATAACGTTATATTCCAGTCGAAGGAAACATAAGCGTTTCCGAGGAAACAATCAAGTCCGTTCAGCGCCGCATCACTTCAAAATACATGTAATCTATCAATGCGCGAAAAACAGCTTTAATTTTAAACAAGCAGAAGTTATGCAATTATTAATAATTTTTCAACATATTCACACTCATATGAAATAAATGCTTAAGCTAAGTTTGTGTTCAAACCATTTTTGTGCGTGTGGTTTTCAATGACACGAGGGACTATATTATTTCTTCTGGAAAAGTCGGCTGTTCGGGGATTTGAACTTACTGACGTCACTGATATGATAACAGGGAAATTCAAACGTATTTTTGCTTCAGTTACTATACAAAACAAACTATATACATATACGGACGGGCGACATTCTATTTATCTGTCACCCAAATTGCATTCAAATCGATTGTATACTGCATCTGGTAACAGTTCAATGCTGAAATATACTGAACACAGTATATATATGTATTCGATATACACGGTGTTATCTTTTTTTTTTGCACAAGGACTTTATTATCATTTCATTATAACATCAGTAAATATAGTAAACATATCAAATACAAAAAATAGTAGATACCAATGCTCTTTCGTAAAACTGGCAAATATTCCATAGTGGACTGTTGAAGCTACCACAGCGACCTTGGACTTTGTTACAGCTACAATTTGACCTAAACTAAGATGTTAAACATTTTTTACACGATTTATGAGTTTAGATCAATTTTGGGTAAAAATTCCCACCCCCACGCCCACTCCACCCCACCCCCACCCCCGCCATGATGATAGATACGTATTATGTTCTTTGAAGGTGGTATTTTCCCGAAACTTGATCTAAACCCCTAACACCTGTAAAATTACTCTGAACACCAGTTTAGGTCAAAATATAGGTGTAACAATTTATCAGGTCCCTTTGGAAGCTCCTGCTAAGGTTTAAAAACATCGTTTTCTTTACTGAAGTTTCGATAGACGACAAAGTAGATGGCAGCCATGATCTTGTTGCAATCATTGGAGGAACAAACGCTGGAGACAGCGCCTGGCCCTGGCAAGTATCTGTCAAATACATGCACAGGTTTATGTGCGGGGGCACGCTGCTCAACGAAAATACCGTCTTAACAGCCGCGCATTGCATCATCAAACGACGGTAGGTTCTTACACACCCTGTGATGGGCCCTACAAAGAGGGCATCCACATTTTAACAGATTCAGAAAGGCTCTTAAAACATATGAATCTTGCGTCATCATCAGACAGCCCCTTAGAAATGCTTGATAGATATTTGTTGTAAACCTTAGCGTAAATTATACGCTTAACGCAATGGGGAAGGCCTTATGTAAGATATTGGTGTTTCTTTATCTTAATAGAAAGCTTTTTATAGGGAAAATGTCAAAATATAAACAGATCATTAATTATTTTCAAATTGTGCATTTTCATGTAAATAGCATACCTGAAAATACTATTTGTTATCAGGGCCAACTTGTTCCGGGTCAATGTTGCAGACTACAACAGACGTGCATCCGAACTAGAGAGAACAGAACTGTCAGTCAAAGTGAAGAAGGTTTACATCGTAAGTAGTATGTATTAGGAAAGCTTCCTTCAGTTCCGGAGAAACTTTTTCAACAAACGAAATATTGAGTTATACGAATAACTTTCGTATGTCAAATCTAATTATATTTTTTTTCTAACACAAGCACAATCGCCATTCTCGATTTAACATTTAAAGTGAGGCGACTCATTTTCGTCGCAAACTTAAATATTTAATAGCACAATACATTAAATAATTAAAGTTTGTTTCCACCATCACCATCATCATCATCAACAACATCGCTAAAACTGAAGTTCTACTAAAACTACTAAATAAAATCGACACAACTAAACAGAATTAATCTCATCAGAACACAACGAAACTAGGAAAACAAATAATTAAATATTGTAACGTGTGCGTTATAATACACTTCGTTTTCTAGTACGAAATTGAGATGTTTTTTCATCTAGAATTTCCAACTTAATCATTTGTTGACGAATCTATCTGGGTTTTTTTTTAAAAGGCGGACTTGAAGTCATGGAGCAGCAAGAACTCTCAGTTATTAGTTTGAAGTTGTGGTGTTGTGGGGGATTTTGTTTTACAATTTGTGCTGTGATGATTCCTATTCAACTATTCGTTCTAGCATCCGGACTATAACAAAATAACTTTAATTAATGATGTGGCCATTCTGAAACTTAAAAAGCCAGTCGCCTTCGGAACATACATCCAGCCCATAGAGCTAGCCACGTCCGCCATGGATGTGTCATCGTACACATGTTACATAACAGGGTGGGGCCTCCGCCACATAGGAGGTAAATGACAATTATTCTACTACGTGCATCAATAAAATACGTAGATTATCATTTCATAAACTTCACAAAATGTAATCCTAGTATAAATAGTGGACATTGTTTAGTAAGCCAATACCTGAACTATCCTGATCCGGCAGTTCCCCGGTGTAATTTAGTTGTTCCATGGGATTCAACGTTTTTTCAGGGTTTCTTTTGTTCCTGTAAATTGTTCGACTGTCTGATCGGACTTTCATTCTAATAGCTGTTCCCCGCGTCAAATTGGTTGTTTGTGTTGTTGTTTCCAGTGGCCAACTGATGCTTCCAATATTCCACTGGCTCTTAATATAGCTAGTCAGTGTTTCATTGGCTCTTAATGTCGTCTTCGCAGCGTTTTGTTGGCTTTACATCTTGTTGTTCCCATTGTTTTGCTGGCTCATATTGAGATCCCAACGTTTCAATGACTCTGTGTAGTTATTCCCGGTGTTCCATTGGCTCTTAATGTAGTTGTTCTAAGTGTCCCATTGGCTCTCTCAATGAAGTTGGTCTCAGTGTCATATTTGCTCTGAATGAAATTGGTCCTAGTGTCCTATTGTCTCTCTTAATAAAGTTGGTACCAGTGTCCTATTGTCTCTCTTAATAAAGTTGGTACAAGTGTCCTATTGGCTCTCTTTATAAAGTTGGTACAAATGTCATATTGACTCTCTTAATAAACTTGATACAAGTGTCCTATTGTCTCTCTTAATAAAATTGATACAAGTGTCCTATTGTCTCTCTTAATGAAGTTGATACAAGTGTCCTATTGACTCTCTTAATAAAGTTGGTCCTAGTGTCCTATTGTCTCTCTTAATAAAGTTGATACAAGTGTCCTATTGTCTATCTTAATGAAGTTGATATAAGTGTCCTATTGACTCTCTTAATAAAGTTGGTACCAGTGTCCTATTGTCTCTATTAATGAAGTTGATACAAGTGCCCTATTGACTCTCTTAATAAAGTTGGTCCTAGTGTCCTATTGTCTCTATTAATGAAGTTGATACAAGTGTCGTATTGTCTCTCTTAATGAAGTTGATACAAGTGTCCTATTGACTCTCTTAATGAAGTTGATCCTAGTGCCCATTGGCTCTTAATGAAGTTGGTACAAGTGTCCTATTGTCTCTCTCAATGAAGTTGGTCCTAGTGCCCATTGGCTCTTAATGAAGTTGGTACAGGTGTTTCACTGGCTCTTAATGAAGTTGATACAGGTGTCCTATTGGCTCTCTTAATAAAGTTGGTACAAGTGTCCTATTGTCTCTCTTAATGAAGTTTATACAAGTGTCCTATTGACTCTCTTAATAAGGTTGATACAAGTGTCCTATTGAAGTTGATACAAGTGTCGTATTGTCTCTCTTATTGACTCTCTTAATGAAGTTGGTACAAGCGTCCTATTGTCTCTCTTAATGAAGTTGGTACTAGTGCCCATTGGCTCTTAATGAAGTTGGTACAAGTGTCCTATTGTCTCTCTTAATGAAGTTGGTCCTAGTGTCCTATTGTCTCTCTTAAGGAAGTTGATACAAGTGTCCTATTGTCTCTCTTAATGAAGTTGATACAAGTGTCCTATTGACTCTCTTAATGAAGTTGGTACAAGTGTTCCACTGACTCTTAATGAAGTTGGTACAAGAGTACTATTGTCTCTCTTAATGAAGTTTATACAAGTGTCCTATTGACTCTCATAATGAAGTTGGTCCTAGTGCCCATTGGCTCTTAATGAAGTTGGTACAAGTGTTCCACTGTCTCTTAATGAAGTTGGTACAAGTGTCCTATTGTCTCTCTTAATGAACTTGGTCCTGGTGCCCAATGGCTCTTAAAGAAGTACGTACAAGTGTTCCATTAGCTCGTAATGAAGTTGGTCTCAGTGTACTAATGGTTCTTAATGGAGTTGGTCCCAGTGTCCCATTGGCTCTAAAAGTAGATAATTCAACTGTCTTAGTGGTCTAAATGTTGATGTTGATCGTTAGTTCTTTATTTACAGAGTCTATGACAGCTAACACCATCCTCCAGCAGGCGGCGGTATCTGTCATCTCTAACGACGAGTGCCAGAAAGGGCTTAGTGACCAAGTAACCGACGACATGATATGTACTGACGATCCGACGAAGGACACGTGTCACGTAGGTCTTGGTTATTTTTAGCATTTTTTAAGGATCCCTGTACCACCGTTAAAAACTGTAACGGTGTGTGGCTATAGCTTTGATAAACCATTTCTGAACAGAAATCTTTACTTTGCAGGACTTTTATGAATTTACAAGTGAGGTGAAATTAACAAAAGAATACTAACAATGAAAACAGTGTTCTGAGCGATTCTGAAGCATTAAGCGACCTCATGGACTTCCACTTCCTTTTCCTTTTTAGTATGCAAAACATGTCTTACTTCAAGGCATTGACACGACTTGAATCGTACTATATCTCCATCTTGTTATGTCTGCAGTCTGATGAATAATATCCATTACCCTTAATAGCGAAATATTTCAATTTCTTTATTTATCCTTCCAATACTTCAACACGGAGAATCGCTTCTTTACTTATCTTCACCACTGGGTCGTGTGTTCAAGGCCTAGCTAGGTACTGGTCGCAACTAGATCGTTTTTCTCCGGGCAATCCGGTTTACCTTCACCTCCAAAATCGAGAACGTCCTTAAATTACCATAGCTATTATGAAGACGATAAACACAAACGAAACAAACGCGTAACTCGTCGTTTTAGAAGCATGAGCTTCACACGTACTTCAGACAAAAAGTAGAATTCAGTATTTGACTTTGACTTTCAGGGCGACAGTGGCGGTCCCTTACAGTGTGAGATCGAGGCTGGAAGATGGGTTCAGGTCGGCATAACGTCATGGGGAAACAAGGATTGTTTGAATGGACCATCCGTATACAGCCGAGTATCCTACAACAGAGCTTGGATTATTGAATTGATGTGATGATGGCTGCTGGTGCCGACACGGCCTTTAAATTGTATGACTTATCACAGAAATCAATTCATAGTCGATCAATCAGTGAAAGCCACAGGGGCATGAATCCATGCCCCTGTGGTGAAAGCGACACATTCAAATGCTGACATTTCAAAGAAATTTATCAAATGTTGACCAACCGGTGGCAAGAACATGTCGGTATTTGTAACGATACGAAATTCAATATGACGTCACTTTCATTATAGACCAATGATAAGAATAAAACAATTTTAGACCAACCAATATCGCCAGAACATTCAGTATAGACCAACTTGTGACGACACGACATAAACCCACAGGAACCTGATAATTTGTTACAACTACAATTGGCCCTAAACTAAGGTGTTCAGAGAGTTTTACACGTTTGAGCAGTTAATTCAGTTCAACTTTCGGTAAAAATGCCACCCCAAGAATTGAGCAATACCCCTCAAACGGGTTAAGTTACTCTGAACACCTTAGTTTAGGTCTGCATTGGCTGTAACAAATTCGCATGTCCCTGTGGTATAGTGTTATTTGTGTCATCGGGATTTTAATAGAAGAAAATGGTGACTTGTTAAACAGATTTTCTTTAATGTTTTCCTACAGTTTGACCACTCCATTCCAATCCAATGATCAATTTGTTTCGAAATACGATATAAAAAGGAGGGAAATATAATTTTCATAAATGTAGCTCACATGGCGTCTTGGGGGATATAAACGGCCAATCTGTGCTTGGATTGGTCACTGTCCGTAATTACAAAATCTATATATCAGTTATATCGACGAAATGTTAACCGCCTACAAACACTTGAGTGCGTTGAAGCGATTCTAAAAAGGGGAGAAAATCATAAGTTCATTATTTGGGAAATCAGCGGTTTTCGTTCACATCAAGAAAACAAGTCTTCTGAAAACTCACTGAGATTTGTTTTTATATATCTGATATTATGTACAGAGCGTAACATTTATAGCGTTTGCTTACCTTGTTTATATATAAAAAAAAAAAAAAAAAAAAAAAAAAGTCTTGAATACTGTTCTTTTCATTTCAAGATGACTTTTAGTACGGTATGCTACATATATATTGTCTACAATGACGTATCTGTCATTTCCTTCAAAAACGTTACATCAGCACACTTCGTTTTCCCTCCTCAGTGATGTCTGCTCCAAGCTGTTTCTGGCAAACTATCAAGCATATTTACAATAGGGTTCTTTTAAATACTGTATACAACAGTCACTGTATGAACGAATTTTGTTTTAACCCTCCTCATTCACTGTTTCTACACCACATATGTTTCGGAACACTTTGGGCAGACATGTCCATCCTCTAGTAACAAGTGTGAGCCCTAAATAGACGACATGCTACCTGTTAGTTGAGGTTTTTGTTTTTCCAAAAACGACCAGGACAACATTTCTTCTTGAATATTACTGAATAGATTCCAATTAATTGACTACCGGTAATTTCGTTAATACCACTGACTCCACTGACGCTATGTGACTTGTATTACGAGTAATGTTACATTAACAGCAATACTGCAAACGGCTTGGTGACTGAAGCACAGGTGATGGACACACTAATATGATTTGTATATTTACTATCATATACACATCAAAGGACATGCACACAAGGCCATTGTAAGACCAAAACTTACTGCGTGTTAAAACTTACAATACTGCTCTTCAGTTTGGGACCCTCATTATACAAATAACATAAATCAATTAGGAAAAGTACAATGAAGAGCAGCGATACGTATTAAACAAATATCATAACACAAGCTCAGTCACAGATATGATACACAACTTGCAATGGCCAACACTTCACACACACACAGAGCAAGAATACGCATTATTATTCTCTACCAAATAATACACCAATAAGTAGCAATACACACTAACAATCTCATCCCGGCAGACACCAGAACACGTCAAGGACACGTCCGTAGTTACAGACATATCTACACATCCAAAGACACATACAGACATACACCATAACACAGTGGAACCTTCTACCCAAAACAATAATCCAATCAGAAACACTAGCAGAATTCAGGACATGAGCCACATATAACATAATCGTACATATACAAAACCTACAACATAACTAACACTCACTGCTTTTAACCTGTTTTTATCCTATAGCAAATAAAAAAAATCACTCTACATAACAACGCACAACAGCACAAGACCTAAACTCCAAAAATTCCGTAATCGTCAATATTGATTGAGGAAGGTTTATAGATGAAGTGTATGGGCAAAAACATCATATTAGTGTATCCAGCACCTGTGGGGTGAACAAGTTAGGTGTGGCTTCCAGATAGTTTGTGTCAAAAGTTTAAAACTATCGGCTGTATGAATTAAATATATAGCATCAATATTTGGTTTTGTAAGAGAATCGAAAACTCTAAATTCTCTTCCGTACAATTCGTTTTATCCACATATTCACAAACAAGGAAAAGTAACTGGTTCCCTTTACCATTTACTCCTTCGTTTCAGTGTTGCCTTCCCACGCATCTTTGTTGATTTAGCTCAATGTCAGATAATGTGGCCCACGTCAGTGATGTGGCACTCCTTATTAAATGAGTGGCTCTCTAGTGCCACTAACATAGCTGGACACCATCATCATACAACTTAACCTGTTGAAGTCCAATTGCATTAACCAGATTTGTCTTTTGTAATTAATCATCACTTTTGAAGACACAATTCAAGCATGTTTCTTAGTATTTTCCAGGTCCAACCGTTAAAAAAATGGGTACAGCTTCCTTTTTGGTGTACTGATACTGTTATATAACACAAAAATTAACACTAATCAACTGTTCTGAAAAGATTAATCAAACGTTTATGATAAATTTATATATCAATACAAAGCTGTCCTCCTTTAACAAAAATATGAAATGATCCTTTGTAAAAATACAATGCATCACAAGTGCAACAAATCCCCCCATTTTCACACATTGTGTGCCATATCTATGAGGAAATGAATAGAAAATTCAATAATGTAACAGTAACTGCTCTAGCTACTACATCTATTGTCATGGCAAAGAATTGTATCAAGTTTCACGAAATTCCATGGAGGACCATAATGGAATTGATACAGCGATGACAAAGACTTTTCTAAAAATAGTAACATTAACCTTGACTTCCAACGAAAAAATCCAAAATGTGATCTTTTTCAAGGTATTGTCATATCAAACACTTGTAAAAAGTTTCATGAAATTTTGTCAAGTAATGAAGTCGCTGGAGCGATGACAAAGCTTTTCTAAAAATAGTAACTGACCTTCACCAAAGTAACCCCAAACACAAATTTGTTCAAAGTTTTCTCATATCAAACACTTGTATGATGTTTCATGAAATTCCGTTGCGAAATGAAGTCGCTAGAGCGATGACAAAGAGTGTAACATACGTACAGGTGGTCCCTTACACCATCGAACTTTCGTTGTGAGGGGATAATAATTCATGTCAAATGTTTTCAGTTTGTACGTTCCAGCACTTTTCAAGGAATATGGAATAAAAATTCAGTACTGTTCCAGGAAACATCTCTTTTCCAGTAGGTTTCAAGCACTGACCCCAATTTCAGCACTTTTCTGTGCCTAAATGACATGTTTATGTCCCTGTCTGATGGTATTTTATAAAAGATATATCTTATTTATTGTGTCTCGTATGTTCTGTGTTTTCATGCATAACCATCATGATTTTGTTGTTGTAATTAATCAAGAAAGATTGATATTCAGATACACTTCAAAAATACCATTTCCATCCAGGGGAAACACAGACTTGGTTATCAATAAACTTTCTTTGTATATTTAAAACATAACAAATCATTGCTGTAGTATTCATTTTTTTTATTTTAAAACTTAACAATTTATCTATATATATAGATCAAAGTGTCGGACACGTGTTTAAACAAACATTCCTTCTGTCATTACAACACAAAACAAACCATGCCCAATCCCCTTCCCCAACCACCAATAACAATCACCCACAACTCCCATCCTCAACCAACCAGGTGCCGTTTTCAGCCATGCCCAGCTCCCTCCCCCAAACCACCGAAACACCAATAACAATCACCCCTAACTCCCATCCTCAACCATACACCCCACTCTATCCATCATTATCATCACAAACTCCCCACCCTCAAGACATTGTTTCCAATCACCTCCAATTCCCACCTCCATCCCCCCTAGATAGAACGACCATCCACATCATCCCAACGGCCAATATCAACCACAACCAAACTCTCATCATCATTTTCCATCCCCAACTCCGAACTCTCAAGAACCCCATGCTCTTTCATCCTTCATTGATGTAGAACCCTTCGACCACACCCCATCCCAAACTCCCTTGTATCCTGATCATGTTTGATATAATAAGATCCTGTTTCATCCCAACAAAGAGATTTTCTCTAGTCGTGATAGCAAGATCCCGTTTCGAACCCAGTAGCACAATACCTATGGGTTTGACAATTTTCCATCTTAGCGGCATGCTCCTTACCCTCTGATTGTATTCAAATTAAAGAAAATATGTAAAGAAAGTCATGTTCAATTTTTCTCTGGATACTGTTTTTTCCTGTCCTTGCAGTATGCGATATCAATAGTCCAAGCTTTACACTCACAAATGTGACTTCTCAAGTCTCTGGCATACAATTTCAATAAATCTCACTTAATCCTTTTTACCCCATCTCTCTTCTTCTGATTCACATGGATCCATAATGAATTTTCGTTAAAAATATTGCCTTGACATCATAGAATTCATGCAGATTTAATATGACAATAGTCTATTCTGTTACATATTAAAGCATTTAATATAAAAATAACTCTCAAGCTAAACTCTCAAAGAAATTGATTAAAATTCTTTCAATGGAAATTATGGCACATGTTATCATGTTTAAACAGCACAAATTGTACACAAAAATATAAATTTGTAGCTTAAAAGTCCATATAATATTAATTAAGTCCATATGATATTAATTAGGTATTTAAGACATATTAATTCTTCATGCTTGTTTTATGAGAAGATCTTTATTTTTAGGAGACCAAGATATTTTCTGATGACTAGAGTGGTCTTCCATGACATGTTCATGTGGATCAATTACTTATATAAATACACAAGCAGCAATAAATTAAACAATGACAATCAGAGTGGTTGGCAGCTTGAGGGAGAATGAGGGAAGGGAGGTAACTCTACAAAAAATGTTGGTCAATCAACAACTGGATTGTAGTTTACTATTGATACGACACTGCCAGGTCAATGTCAAAGATGTTTCAAGAACGAGGGTCAGCCACTTGAATTCTGTCGTTTGTCCAACAGGTAAATGCTGTAGAGGAAATATTCTGTCAGTAACGTAAATTCTGCATGGCAGAGGTCACCGGAACCTGATGATAACCCAGCAGATAAAGATGACGAACAAAATAAACAGAAACATGTAACACCACAATCTAGGACCGCCTTTACTTGCAATATCCTTTAACCGTCCCATCGATGATTTCAATAATCCTCCGCTCTTGTCGAAGTCATCATCCTTATCACCAAAACAAAATAGCACTGATTATAGTTTCTTTACTCATGTTATTAATTGATTTCTACTCATTTTTAAACATAAATATCATGTTATCATTTTTTATCGATTGCTATCATAGTACAACAAGCAAGAATACATTAAGCATAAATCTTTTATATGAAAATGAGTAGACAGTAAACAAGAGGCCCATGGGCCTTAACGGTCACCTGAGTCTACAGTATTTATTTTTGTTGTTGAAATATGTACCAATTTGAGTAAAAAATAGTATAATGTTAACTTAACTTTGTCAGGACCATGAGCTGATCATTCCTAGACCAATTTTAAGTGAGATCGGCCTATTAGAACTTAGTAGCAAAATAGCGGCCATGGCAGCCAAATTGTATTTCTGATTGACCCGAAAAATAACAACACTTTGTCAGGACCATGAGGCGATCATTCCTACCAACTTTCAGTTCAATCGGTCCAGCAGAACTTGACTTTAAGTTTGAAATAGGTTTTCAAAATGGCGGCCGTGGCGGCCATATTGGATTTCTGATCGACCCGAAAAATAACAACACTTTGTCAGGACCATGAGGCGATCATTCCTACCAACTTTCAGTTCAATCGGTCCAGCAGAACTTGACTTTAAGTTTGAAATAGGTTTTCAAAATGGCGGCCGTGGCGGCCATATTGGATTTCTGATCGACCCGAAAAATAACAACACTTTGTCAGGACCATGAGGCGATCATTCCTACCAACTTTCAGTTCAATCGGCCCAGCAGAACTTGACTTTAAGTTTGAAATGTAAAATGTTAACGGACGACGGACGACGGACGACGGACGACGACGGACGAAAACGGATAGCAATAGGTCACTTGAGCTAAAGCTCAGGTGACCTAAAAAATGTAATTTCTTTTTACAAGTGCAATTAATTTCTCAGAGGATAAATTCAGATATTTTCCTTATCCTGCACAATATCACATTGAAAATAATAAATGTTGATTAAACAAAATTATGACACCACTTCATGCCCTTAGTGTTCTGAACTCATCAACAGTAATTATAGAAACACAAACAGTAAAAAAATGCATTTTCATTTTGATATTCGATGAACTAGTACAGCTTCATGTGACTTACCATTTCTGTTAAAAACTTGTTCTGTTCCCTCACTTCATTTCCCATGTCAATTGTTAGCTGTTTTCAAAAAGAATTCATTTATATATTAAAATTACAAAAAAAGAATTCGTTTATATATTAAAATTACGAAAAAAGAATTCATTTATATATTTAAATTATAATCAATCTCACATCAAGCATCACTAAGTTACTATACGCATGAAAGACTTTTCATCCAAGTTCAGTTTTGCACAGACTGCATTAGACCAAATAAAAATAAACCTATGTTTCCCGTTTCCTGATTGACCCAACTTTTCATGCCGACCCTAATACATTTTATTGGTTTTTCAGTCACTGTAATGCATTTATTAGCCGTTTAGTTGTTCAAAGAGTGCGTATAATTTGTTATGCATTTTATTATTATTCCAGTCTGTGATGTTAAATTTAGCAGGATTTATGGCCAGTTTTTAACAGGATTTCAGCAGCATCAACAATTTTAGAGAATTAACATATTTATTGTAGCAGGTTTTGCTAAGGGACAGATAGTAAGATAGTTCAGTTAGTGAGTCGAAAGAGGAGAAGAGAGTCAAAAGAGTCTTGAGAAAGGAGGTTGAGTTAGGGAGACCAAGTTGAAAGGTCAAGAGATATAGAGGAGAGTAAGAAAGTTAGAATGGTTAAAGTGAGAATTAGGAAGTTAGTAATAATAGTAGTTTTAGCTGTGGTTTGTAGATCTGTGCAGTTTTACAGCTTATAGTTGGAGATATATTAGAGATAACTTGTGTTGTAAACATAGTGTATTAAAATATAAATGTAATTATTTTGTTGTTCAATTAATTTGAACTGGAGGCAGTGGAAATTGAGAACAGAAAGTATTCATCAGTTATACAAAAGAGAACATAACACTGGTGACCATCAGTGGAGTTTGGATTACTAACAATTAGTGTCCAGCAGTAGGGATAATGTAGAAATGTAACACTGGTGACCATCAGTGGAGTTTGGATTACTAACAGTTAAACACTGGTGACCATCAGTGGAGTTTGGATTACTAACAATTAGTGTCCAGCCATAGGGATAATGTAGAAATGTAACACTGGTGACCATCAGTGGAGTTTGGATTACTAACAATTAGTGTCCAGCCGTAGGGTTAATGTAGAAATGTAACACTGGTGATACAGTAGGGTAGCACTACTGTAAAATACAATGGTTATTCTAAAACATTTAGATGGGTCAAATAATAATTTACTTCAATGAATGTGCCGTTTAGGCCTGCTCAACACAAAAACTGTGAATGCATTTGTGTATTTATTTTACACGAATCAAAAATTATATATTTGGTGCCTTTCATACTCTATCAAAACAATAATATATTTTTAACATTCACTTAGGTAATCAGGAGGTTTTCTTCACCAGGAAAACAAATCAGATGAAAAAATAAAATAAAATGTTTTTCCTACCTACCTACCCTATTTTTTTGGAGAGGAAACACACATATTTTTATTTGGCCTTAGCAAACAAATGCAAGTTATAAAGTTTTAGTAAAAATGATTAATATGTTTTGGAACATCTTTATGTCATCTTGTTTTACTGCTGACTAATGGAATCTTTCCATAAAATGATGATATAAAACAGACAAATCCCAACCAGATGGGCCGTATATTATACTTCAACCTGAGCTTGTTTCAATAATATTAATATGTTCCAAAACAATGGATATCAGCATTAGTAATCTGTTTCCATTTCTGATTTGGACATGTACTCTCCTATAGAATGCTGAACGTGTTGTCATATATTTTATTGCTACTTTCAATTATATTAAAATGTCACCTCATTGAGCTATCTGTCATACCTTTGGGGATGTGTGCATCTATTCAGTAAAATGTCCCTCCTTTTATTTGCCACTTCGTTTAACACCAGCATAATATCAATGCCCCCTTTTTTTTCTAAGAGTTCCTTCAAGTGTTCCCCTCAATAGCGCCAGAATTTCTCCAGACAAATGGTGGCAGTATTACAAGGTTTTACTGTAGTCTGTGTGTAGTACAGTACTAATATTAATACCCTGCCTCCTCTGCCCCGGCCGTGTATTAAATCGATCCCATGCCTTGTAATGGAGCAAGCCCGGTGTGAATCACACCGGGGCAATTTTAGAATTAATTGACATCACATTGGTCCGCATCCATAAATAGGGTTGTATGAACTATTTCTGTTGATATCCTGCACAACTTGAAGTTAAACTCTGCTTAAAATGTCTTTAATTATCAAGTTAAAGTAGCAAGCGCAATTGAAATCGGAATTAACCGCCATGTTGAAAAGTTTTTCTCTCATCTGATATAGGTCAGACGTCTAAATATGGGTGTCATGACCCAATATGGAAATTGTAGTAAACATAGCGGCATCAGTAGTAATACTATATTTGGCCATGCAAGCCATATATAGAAAGGGTAATTGAGATAACATCACCCGTTATCTGTCATGGCGGTCGTTTCTATTTTTTCTGGAAGTCAGACTTGGTTAACTTTGTGAAGGAGTTTTTTCATTGGTAAGGTTATGTTTTTTCAACAATTATGTAATATTTTGATAACATTATACTCATATGAGGCGTGAACTTTATGTAGACTTACAGATTAGCACTTTTTATTTTGCTTCATTGGTTGGCATTGGACCAATTCGTAGCTCTGATGATGCAATATAAACAAAATCTCTGGTCGTCAGAAATTAGCTACATTATCGCAGCTATAGTCTGTGTAATACTTACAGATTTCAGAGCCTTGACTTTGCTTGATAACTGATCCTCCATATGCTGATTCTCTGCCTCCAACATTTGTGCAGTAGGTTTATAAGGTTGGTCATTTCCTGTCAGAGAAATAACAACATAATTAACAGATATCTATTATAACATAATCAAACATAACATAACTTGATAGCATTAACCATGATCTCGCCAATAAATTACATTGGTTATAATCAATTAACATGGTAATTGAAAGACTGGTTTTCAAAATGTCATCTCATTGGTCATTTGGTCCTTGTAATGTTTGTGAAAATCCACCAGTAATTTTATCTACATGATTCCCTTTGCACTCTGGTCACTGCTTATAGCCCCTGTCCATCAGTCGCTCCAAAGGCTGATGATCACTGCCAATTTCATCAAAATCTGACAAAAATATCTTAAAAGTCAGAAATATTTTAAACGGAGCATACTAGACAGTAGACGTAGACTTTCGCTATAAGTAGGTAGGGATATAATTCATAGGTGTTTGAAATTCTGACTGTGAATTGAGATAAAAATCATATAGTAATACCCTTATTTTTTTATATGATTTTTATCTCAATTCACAGTGAGAATTTAGTAATACCCTTATTTTTTATAAGATTTTTATCTCAATTCACAGTCAGAATTTCAAACACCTATGTATAATTGTCCAAGATTTGAAAAAGAAACGCCTTCCCTTTAGTTCATGTTTGAATCAATTAATTAAGTGTTATGTTAGAGGATCTCGAATCTTACCCATGTGTGCTCGCCTCATCTTGGTTTATTTTATATCTGCCCCTTTGTAAATGATTCCAATCCTGCTTGATATAAGTTTATCTTCCTTTACACGTATGTTTTACTGACAGGCTGTCACAATATTTGGACCCTAATGCGCTTTGCGTCATCGAAACACGTGTACAGTAGATCATGGTCACGCGTATGTTTACAGTCGCACAGCCAGGGGTACATAACTCGTCCGGCCTCAGACCACAGTACACCCCGACAGAACACCGACTTCCGTCAGTGAGATGAAACCCGTAAGGGTGGATTCATGTAGGCGCAAAACCCTTCAACCAACCAGACCACAGTTGGATAATTTTGTTGCGAAATCAAAATTGTATCACACACACATTATTTGGTTGTCAACTTGATTACTACTGTCCCATGCCAAATTTTTAAAAAGGCGATCCCAAACGTGTGCTTACTATTCTGACATTTTTCTGTGTGGTTTTCCTCAAAAGTATATTGCAACAAATCAGAGTTTATTACAGACTAGAAGCAGAGACGTATAATACATCTCTGCTACAAGTGAGATAAAGATTAAAAAAGGTGCACTGATAATAGTTTCCTTAGAATAATCTGAATATTTTGTCACATCTTGAAAACGGAAAATACATTACAAGGTTTCTTATTTTTTTTATTGACCGCGGACGGTACTTATTTCATACTTAAATCCTAATTCCGAAAACGTAATACATATTTACAGGATAAATGATTAAGAGCTGTTGACGTTTTTCTTGTCTTCTTTGGAATTGGAGCTATGCCAATATATACTGAATTTTTCCATCTGTATTTTATTTTATTTTATTTTATATATACCACAAAAGTTATGGTGTGAAATTTTTCCAATCAAGTACAAACTTGTTATTCGGGATTTGTCAAAAATTCTTTGTGAATAATAGGTAATTGGACGGATTTTCTTTTTTGTTTAATCAGGCTTTCCGTGCTTTCTAAATCTTCCGAAAATGGTTGAAATGACGTTTTGCGGTATCAATACCCTAGGCACGGTCTTATCAGTTTCATGCAATACTTTATAGGAGTCTGAAAGGGCAAGACATTTCATATCTATCATATAGAATTTTGAATAAAAGGGCAATGGTTTAGTGCATTTAAAAAATATATAAACAACATTTTATAAAGTGCCCTATCTAGCACAGGTTGAAAGGAGAGCTGCAGAAACAGGCCTATCTATCAACTACAAAAAAACCAAAGTTTTAAAGTGACCCTAGCAAGGCTGATGGTTAACACCCAAGCTTTAGAAGAAGTGGATTCCTTTACATACCTTGGAAGCGTAGTGGACAATCTTGGTGGCTCAGATAGAGATGTAAAAACCATAATTGGCAAAGCTAGAACTGCATTTAATATAATGGGAACAATTTGGAAAGCAAGAAACATCACTCTAAAGACCAAAGTACGCTTGTTCAATTCCAATGTAAAAACATACTCTTATATGGAGCTGAGACTTGGAAAACAAAACAAAAAAATGCTTTAAAAACTTAAAGTCTTCATCAACAACTGTCTGAGGCGCATCCTTAAAATCAGATGGCCTGAGAAGATATCATACCAAGATCTGTGTGAAAAGACCAACCAATCCCCAGTTGATGAAGAGTTGAAATGGAGATGGATAGGGCACACACTGAGGAAGCCAAATAACAGCATTACAAGGCAAGCCTTACAGTGGAACCCACAAGGAAAGCGTGACAGGGGCAGACCAAGATACACCTGGAGAAGAGACGTTGCAGCGGCATGATCTGGAGAGGCTAGCTGAAAACAAAACAAGGTGGAGGAATATCGTTTAGTTTAGTTTAAACATATTTTATTGCAATATATTTACAAAAGGATTGGACACAAGTTATTGGAACTTATAAACGCCCTTTCCATAATGGTTTACAACATATAAATATAATGCAATTTCTAATAATACATAAATGAATTTACAACAAACACATACATGAGAGAGAGAGAGAGAGAGAGAGATTTTAGTCAGACTCATTTCATGATTAAAACTATAGATTAAGATAACAAACTTATAAAAATGTTATATAACAAAGTTATCAAACTTATAACAATGTTGACCCAGTTGGACTATAAACACATTCATTACGCACTACAAACTGCTCATCTCAATCCTGAAAAACTTTCCTCTTCCGTAACCACGCAGATCCTCTTCTTTTCCGTAGTCTTTCATCTTAATAATACCAGCTGGGCCAACAATGTTATCTTAGCAGTTGAAACATCAGATAATGAAATGAAAAAATAAAAAATAAATAGCGTTGTGCACTTTTCTTTAAAATCTTTTGCTAGATTTAATGAAATTATGAACGTATAAAAAGACTTCCGAATTTGTGTCAAGCGACAAATCTTCATTTCCAAATAAAAGCAAATCTAAATCACATGGAACCTCTAAACTGAAATCATTTACTCGCTGAAAAAGGATGTTTCTTTCAATACTATAACGGCGACATTGAAAGAAAGAGTGATAAACATTTTCACAAATATGTCCACAAATACAGCTAGGGGTTTCCACAAGGTTCACACGGAACAAGTCATAATTTAGAGAACTTCAACGGTGTCTAAGCTTCGTGTGAATAACATTTAACCTACGGTCGCCATTACAAAAGTACGTAGGCGGAACAAATTGATCGTTGGGTTTCAGGGAATTTTTAAAGATATTCAATGAAGCTGATGACCTAATAGAGTTATCGAGGGTATTCCAACAGCGAAGAGTTGACGGTAAAAAAGAAGAGTTTGTTGTTGATAATCTGAAATACGGGATTCTATAATCATTTCTGTTTCGCAAAGGATAGCGAACTAGATCTTGTACAGTGGAGGAAAGCAGGGAAGAAAAATAGTCTGGTGTTTGATTAACATGCATTTTAAACAAGAGTTGAAGCTTTTTTCTTTTTCTTCTAGGAGACAATGTTTCTTAACCTGTTTCAAAATTTAAAGAATATAAACTAGCATATGATGGGAGACCTGTTATAATTCGAGCGGCTTCACGTTGGGCTTTTTCTAACTTTTCTGATTCGACACTAGAGCATCCATCCAACAATTCGCATGCATATTCTAAAATAGGTAAAATAAAGGTTCGGTAAATTCTTAATAGGGCATCTCGTTTTAATAGATTTTTTTTATTTTTTTTATTTATTTTTTCCATAACTTTAGAATACACTGCTTCTATATGATCCCCCCATTTCACGCTGGAGTTGAGAGTAACACCTAAATGCTTGTGACTATCTGAAAAGTCTAAAATGTTCATGTCAAATTATAATTCTAAAAATGCATCTACGTCATTTCTATTGGAGAAAAAAAGTACGTCAGTTTTGTCCGGATTAAACGTTACAAGCCAAGTTTTAACCCACGAGTTTAAAGATTCAAGGTCTTTATTTAGGATAGTTTGAATTTCAAGACAGGAAGAGGAAGAGCATTGGAGATAGGTGTCATCTGCGAAAAGACGAGATGCTAAGTCAAAAATATCAGCTATAGGAATATCGTTAGTTGCCTATGCTCCACCAAGGGGCAAAAGGATTAAGCGGCAAGTAAGCCTATCTAGCTAGAACAGGCCATTCTAAAGCGCTGTACAGTACATAAGATTATACATTTTTATTATCAATACAATTAACATATAAAACATCAATCAATCTTCTTTTGAGGAATTCGCAGGAGCTGCCTTATTAGGCGCCAACTACTAGTCCTATGCCACCTGGCTAATATCTCTATGTGTTTATGTCTGGAGATGGATTGTGTTCGGTTAATTATTTATATAATTTTCCAACGATGATGATAAATTTCATAGAGATTTTCATAACTCTATAAACGGTTTTTTTTCTGAATCCTATATTGATTTGGTGTATGCATGTATGTTTGACATAAACATAATTATGAAATAAATTATGGTTTAAACTAAACTAATTTGTTAATAAGTGACTTGATGAAAGTGCTATAACAATACGAGTAGCCGTTTACTCTAGGTTCTTGTACCCTACAGTGAGATCAAGCGGGTATCGTAATACCATAGTTTACGACTAAACTGTACGAGTATAACTACACGCTTAAACAGATTATTACCTTAAAACCTTATTACCATCAATGTTTGATGTAAAGAATTACCTTTATTTTCTACCAAAAGGCATGATTCAGAGGATGACTGGCGAATTAGGCACGTACCTGTTCTACAGAAGGCTCACCATAACAGAATGGTTAATTCCAATTCCGTTTAAAATTATTTTTATGTTTAATGAATGAGAGACAGATTTGCCACTCCCTAGTAAACTCCAATCCGGGTACAGCAGTTATAATATATTAAACATATTGCATAGATATCGCAGTTCAATTGAAACCACATTAGCTGATGACCGCATGACGTTACGCCCAGTTTTTTCCTCTCTTCCGCTTTGAAATTGTGACACACACACAAACAACATTGTTCCCTAATTGTGTGGGTGGGAATCGGTATTACGTCACCCGTAGTATAACCTCGTATTATCAGAGACATATATATATACTGCTATAGCTATATACGTCTCTGGTATATCTCTGGTGACATATTTGGGAAAGAGCTGTTCATTTTTGTATGATAACACATAAGCTTTTGTGTCATTAGGTTTCTTCTTCTTCCTTTAATGGAGAATACTCTGTCTAGAGTGTTAAGTTCTCCAGCGCGACTTATGCCGACCGCAGCTAAAACTTCCGTATGTACAGTTTAAAAGAGGTAAAAACAGTGGGGTCTACATAGCGTATTGGTGGTCGGCTGCCTCGTACTGTACGAGGGCGTGCCTGAAGCTGTCCAGGGTGGGAGACGATTGTATGTCGGGTGGGATTGCATTCCATGTGATGATGGTACGTGGTACAAACGAGTATCGGTATGTGTCGAGCTTTGTTGGTATTTGCCGTATGTTGTTAGCAGTAGCTCCTCTGGTTCTTCCTGATGTTACGGTAATGTCCTGATGTATTGGTACCTCAACCAGATTGTTGATAATTTTGTAGAACATAAGCGTTCTGTTTCTGGCTCTTCGTTGCTCTATAGTGGTTTGTGACACATCCTGGTTCCCTGCTGAAGTAGTCCCCTGTGGCGAATCTGGCAGCTTGTCGCTAGACTCTCTCCAGTTGGTCCTTCTGTTGTTGAAGATGGGGATCCCAG